CTGGTCTAAAGAACCTTATTCCTAAATGAACAAATAGGGGATCATATCTGCACACAGTGAGGCCGTAATCATCTATTTGATGAAGTTTAAGACTACAGGAACTCCTAACCTCCAGTAGGGTGGAGATACCTATCAAGCCAAAATGGATCTAGATGGTTTTCTGACTGTTCCAGGTAAGTCCCCAGTGCCTCAAATTCCTGGTTGATCTCTGGATTAGAGCAACAACTTGGACAAATGACACAATTGCTCCTGAGAGCATCCTCTTTCTGTGGATGAAGGCACATTTTGGTTTTCCAGGGAGCTCAGGGCAATGAAGCAACAGTTATGGTGCCTAGAGTGAAGGTGGGGCACTCAAAATTGGCATAGGTAGAGCTCCTATTAAGCCCTGCAGATCAGATTGAGGGGGTGCCAGGCTCCATGGGTGGGAGAAGGGGAGAAATCTCATTGCACAAGCAGACCTCGCTTCATATATGCAACAACTTAGTTGAAGCCCACCCACAATTTTGTTCCAAACAATGTTGGGCAGCAACCGAGAATCAGACAGCATTTTTTTCTTTCTTTTAAGTAGAGAAGAAGGGCCTTGATGGATCAGACCAAGGGCCAATATCATACTGAATATGAATTTGCATCCTCAGGAGCCCGGTGCATACATAACAGTAAACCAGAATTAAACCAAGTATGGCTTACCAGAAATGAGCAAGCATGCTGGTGTACACTGCTCAAATCACACACACCCTATACCTTTTGCCATGTCAGGGGAAAAACAAAACCAGACTGCCGGCTTAGCATTCCATGCGAACCATGGTTTGTTCTTGGTTTGCCCTTGTGGTTGTCTGGAGAGAAACAAGACACAAGGACTAGTTTGCATGTACAGTGGTACATCTAGTTGCGGACAGCATCCATTCCAGAGCTCCGGTCGGATCCCAAGGTTTCCGCAACCGGAGGGACCACTTCTGTGCATGCGCGTGGGGCGGTAGACCGCTTCTGCACATGCATGTGCAGTGAAACCCGGAAAAATATTTCCAGGTTTGCCACGTTCACATCCTGAAGGATACACAACCGGAGGTGTGCGTATCCAGAGGTACCACTGTAATACTAAGTCAGCACTCTCATGTGTTTCCTCCCAATGCAACAAAGGGAAAAGGAAGAGGGCAGAGACAGTATGAGTCACATGCACTAGTCTGCTTGCTCATTCCTGGTAATCCATACTTCGTTTAACTCTGGCTTACTGTTATGTGCAAACATGGCCAATAAGTAGTATGTCAATATAGAAATATCAACCAACCAGCAGAAAGAGGCACACTGCATCTGGAATCCCTCTGTGGAAAAAAGGAACCATCTGACGAGTCTGAACTATCTATATTAGGAACAATAAAAGGGAGACTAAATATGTCCAGAATTATAAAGGGTGGTGCTGATATGGAATGTCTGAAACATTTAGTTATTAAAAAGGCATGAGGCCAGAGGACTGGATTGAAGCAGGGGGCAAGCCTACAAGCAACTCTTCTGTACACTTCAGCTTGGATGAAGCATTTAGAACCGGCTGCCAAAGATAGCAATAAAAGCATGTCATTTTTCCCCATTATTAAGTTTTTAAATTGTGTGGGTGAATCCTTCCAGTGCTTATGAAAGGGGAGGATTAATAGTATTTACTACAGCTATGCAACCTCTATGAAAGCTCCAATTCATAGCTCAACCAAGCAAGTTGATTTCTGACCTCTGGCATTCCCATTGAACTGGACTCTTGAACTTATGCACCAAACAATTTAAGACACTGTGTGTGTGCACGTGCGTGTGTGCGCACACACAGATGTGTGTGTATGCTGTCTATAATCACTTGCATAATGGGCCTCTCTATACTCCCACTGATGCCAGACATTTAACGAATACATCAAAGACCTACACTGTGCACAAGCAGCTCAAGGTATGTATCTGCGAAGAACGCTGTCCTCAGTTTGAACTCCAAAGCTCCTCCCCAGTCACACATATTAAGAATCAATTCATCATTTCAAATCTTAATCTGGTTGCATAGGATCTGTAGAACACTGCAGTTCTCTCTAGGGGCAAACAATATGGATCTTTGTAGGGTCCCAGGCATACGTCAACCAATTGCTAGCTGGTAATGAATGAAATGGAAACTCAGCCTCATCCTGCAAATCAGTGATGCCCCCCCCACTCCACTATATTTACACACAGTAATATTTTAGTGTCTTTACACCAAAGCAGCAAAAGGCTTGGCTTGTACCTGTTGTCCTCTGAAATTTGCACATTTAACTACTTAAGTTCTTATATGTTGTTTTAAAACAATGCCACCATGATTTTATTATACCTTTTGTTATACGGGTATCATTCAGCTGAAATTGAACCAATTCAGGATTAGACTTGTGCATATTTCACTATAGTATTTATTTAGATTAACAGCCCACCCAAACACGAGTGGAGTTTTTTTAAGAGGAGTAAAAAACAAAGAGGACTCAGAGCAAAATAAAAAGAAGTTCCTTTTCCAACTTCTCTCTGAACTCCAAAGGCCATCTCAAAGAGTAGGCTATGTTTTAGAAAGATGCCCAGATATTAGTTTTCATACTGGAGCAACGTGGAGAAGTACCGTATTTTTTGCTCTATAAGATTCACTTTTTCCCTCCTAAAAAGTAAGGGGAAATGTGTGTGCATCTTATGGAGCGAATGCAGGCTGTGCAGCTATCCCAGAAGCCAGAACAGCAAGAGGGATTGCTGCTTTCACTGCGCAGCGATCCCTCTTGCTGTTCCGGCTTCTGAGATTCAGAATTTTTTTTTCTTGTTTTCCTCCTCCAAAAACTAGGTGCGTCTTGTGGTCTGGTGCGTCTTATAGAGCGAAAAATACGGTAGGTTCTATGGCTGTATCAGGTCCCAATTCATATCTTTCCTCAACCATAAGGTGACTGTAAGATACCCACAATTTCTCAGCCACAGTCGCACAATCCCCTACAATATGGAGATAATCACGCTAGCCTTCCACGGATGGCTACTGTGAGGATTATTGGGACAAGGTATTTGTAGCTCTTCGTAAGCAACTTAAAATGTACTATACAAGTGTTAGGCCAGGTGTGGGTGAGGGGCAAAAGGAAATGTAATTCTATGCATGTCTGTTACACTTTTATCCAACCCCAAGCAGCTCATGGGTTCCCCCAATTATGTCTTCACAACAACCCTGTGAGGTAAAAGCTGGGCTGAGACATAGCGACTGCCTCAAGGTCACGCAGTGAGCTTCACAGTTGAGTGGGGATTTGAACTTGGGTTCGGCAGTCCTAGCCTGACGCTAGTCTAATCGTTATACAGTGGTACCTCAGTATTCAATTCGTTCCGGAGGTCCGTACTTAACCTGAAACTGTTCTTAACCTGAAGCACCACTTTAGCTAATGGAGCCTCCCGCTGCCGCTGCGCCACCGGAGCACGATTTCTGTTCTCATCCTGAAGCAAAGTTCTTAACCTGAGGTAATATTTCTGGGTTAGTGGAGTCTGTAACCTGAAGCGTATGTAACCTGAGGTACTGCATCAGCTCATGTTGTCCACACGACCAAATTACTCTCTGGCATTTCCACCTACAGACGAAGGCCCAACACAAACACTCTCCAGGATGCCAAATAGGAACAGGATGTTGATTAGTTTGTAGCAGCCGTTGGTGGAGGGGGACGTACACAGATTGTTTTGTTTTCTGCCCTTGGGAGGAACACTGTGACAAAGGCTGAAAACTCCTAGTGTTAGCAGTAAAAAGGGCTACACTTTGAACCAACAATGCACCGTGGAAATAAATTAGTATGTGGGCTCTATCAAACAGCATTGTCACAAGAGAAGCCCTACTTCGCATCTTATGGTGCCCTCTTGTGACAATGATAAAGTACACCACCCTTCCCCATCATTTTATTTTTTTGCTTGGAACAGGTAAGTCTGTTGAATTTCTGCCTATCAAGCAACCGTTAAGCCTCTGTTAGGTGGAAGCTCCACTTATTGCTTCCCACACTTTCCGGTATTTAGCACTAAAACAGAAGCATGTTTACTATAATATTTGAACTACATGGGTACAGTGGATGCTTGGGTTGCGAACGTGATCTGTGCGGGATGCACATTCGCAACCTGCAGCGTCCACAACCCACAGTGGTGTGTCTGCGCACATGTGGGTTGCAATTCAGCACATCTGCGCATGCACAAAGCGCGATTTAGCCGCCTGCGCATGTGCGATTGCCAAAACCCGGAAGTATTTTGTTCCGGTACTTCCGGGTTTCAGCAGTCCACAACCCAAAAAAATGCAACCTGAAGCATCTTTAACCCGAAGTATGACTGTACACATTAAGAAGCCACGACAAACAGCAGGCTAAGGGCCATAGCTCAGTGGCACAGACAGCATCTGCTTGGAATGCAGATGGCCCCAGGCTCAAACTGCGGCATCTGTGCGAGCCTCACACAAGGAGCCAGCTCCCCACTTCAGAACTCCTCCCCACCCCTCCAGCACATGGAAACTGCCACTGCAATTTTGGCTACAAGTAGGATTAATTGCAGTAGTATTTATCAATGTAAATGCTGCAAATTGCCCTATCATATCAAGACTGCAACAAAGCAAAGCAACTTGGGTCTTTTTTTCCAGGTGTCGTACAAAGTAAAGAAGAAGCACATGTATTCTTTGGTTGCAGAGTCTCACCGACGCAGCCTTAGCTCTGGACTGCTTTTCTTCTCAAGGGGTCACCAACGTGGTGCCCACAAATCTTTCCTAGCCCCCTCCAACTGCCCCTGCTGACAGAAGCATTCTGTTGTAGCCAACAGAATGGGTAGCTGTGTCTTAGGATTGCAGGGACGGTTTATTAAGAGTTTTATGATTTTTTTTGGGGGGGGGGTTACATTCCTTACACAGATACCAAGTAAGCCTTCTGCATTCTTTCCCAACCTCCATTTCCCCTGCTAGATAATCAGCTTAATAGCCAACAGAAAATTGCCAATAATATGTGTGCATATCTAATTGTTAATCTTACCTGTAGAAAATATTAGAACCGTGTTGTTCCAAAGGCCGTACTTCTTCAGGGCTGCAGTGACATTTCCCACAGCTTCATCCATAATAGACACCATTCCCGCATATTTGCGTCTCTTTTTGTCTTTGATAAAAGAATATGGCTCTATGTATTTCTCAGGTACTTGAAGAGGCTCGTGGACTGATTGCAGAGCGAGGTATAGAAAGAGAGGCTGTCGCCAAAAAGGCACACCACCAAAAAAAGAGACCGCATCATTAAATGCCATAATCAGCATACTGGCTGATAAGCTTCCAGCTGCAACTACTGGCTTCCTTCCTGCCTTCTGTCTTCAGTTCTCAAGGATAAAAGAATATTTAATTGAAGACATCCCCATTTTTATGATGTTGCCAGACTCCATTGGCCCCAGCCAGAATGGCCAGCAGTCAAGGATGATGAGAGTTGCTGTCCAACAACATCTGGAGGGCCATAAGCTGATCTAACTCCAGGCAGACCTTCAAATTCAATTTTTGCTTTCATGAGGGAAGTCTAGAAATATTTAAGAGCAGGGCACACCAGTAATTGGGTCAGACATGCTACATTAGTGGTGCAGGACGGGGAGTACTATTTGTGTAATCTGCCTGAGACATCTTTTAAAGATGAAACTTTCTTTTCTCAGTTTTTCCTGGGCCACTAAGGCTGGACTTCTCCCTGTTTGTAACTTATGGTATTGTATTGCATCTTTCATTTTTGTGTGTGGTTTATATTAATAGTTTTTACTGTTTATTGCTTTGAGATGTTTAACATTAAGTGGTTTAGATTAATATTTAATAATAATGTTAATATTTAACATTTCGGTGGTACCTTGGTTCTCAAACTTAATCCTTTTCGGAAGTCCATTCCAAAACGAAAGCATTCCAAAACCAAGGCGTGCTTTCCCATAGAAAGTAATGCAAAACTATCTAACAAGACCATTGATCCATAAAATGAAAGCAATCATCAATGTACTGTACTATAAAATAAATAAGACAGTATTGTAGATGATAAAAATAAAAATTAGTATTTTTTCTTACCTGCACTGATGATAGTCATTGTTTGGATGGGGGGCTTTTATCCATTTCCACAGTCACACAATCAATCAATCAATCAGTAGCTGAACTGGGTTCCACACAGTCACAAAAACAAATTAGCCGAAAAAGCCACAAAAACAAAAACGCAAATAGCAAAAACAAAAGCGCCAAACTTAATCCATTCTGGAAGTCTGTTCGAAAACCAAGGCGCAGCTTCTGATTGGTGCAGGTGCCCCAGAAACAACAGCCAACAGCAGCATTGGACATTCAGCTTCCGAAAAACATTCAAAAACCGGAACACTTACTTCCAGGTTTTTGGCGCTTGAGAACTAAGGTGTTTGAGAACCAAGGTACCATTGTACTGCTATTTAATAATAATATCTAATTGGTCACCTGGTTTAACAATGTATTGATATTAATAATATCAATGCAAGATTAATAATAACATATATGGTTTTCTACCAAGGACCTAAAGACAGCATACATAAGGTTCTTCCAACTTTATCTCCACACCAACCTTAGGTAATGAGAGACCTAAGAGTGATGTGGCAGAGGCATACATGGAAATCCTTTGCAGGTGAAGTCGGTCCCACTGAGTTAAAGGGGATTGTTTACCGGACAACCATGTATAGGATTTCAGCCATAGTGACAGCCACAGGGAGCCAGTGAATGATGAAGGAACTGAACCAATGCAACCATCAAGCACAACACTATTCGCACAACACATCACACTAGCAGCCACAGGTGCTGCAAGCAGATAGCACTGGTACAAGTTTTACCGCCGAGATTTAAACAAACTAATATTACAGTATTTTGAAGCTGCTCTATCAAATTTCTCATACAAGGAGCAGAAAAACCGAAGAAAATGTTTGAGAAACTGAATTCAGTTTCTTTCTGATCTATTTTGTAGGACAGCCCTGTCAATGATTTCCCCCCAATATGTTGTTAAATTCCCGATTATGAACTTACGACTATAATGGGACTAAGAACAGGTAGCTGCACCAAAGCGTCTGATCATAAATGCATCAAAATGTATTAATTCCAACTTTATATTTTAAGAAAGAGACAGAATTGTACCTTCTCAGTCTGGTGATTAGCTATAAGATCTACTGCTCTTTCTGTAAACACATTAGTAGAGTACATGTCTTTAAATCCACCTGCAACTTCTTCTCCCTCTCGAAAATCAAGAGCACATCGAGTTACGTTCTTCGCTTCGATGGCCACACAGCGCTCGTGAGAATAGTAATCTTCACTTCCAAGAAGATAACCTAAAAAAGAGAAATATTAAGTCTCTCTTTTTATGTATTCATTACATTTCTCTTCCCGCCCTTCCTCTCAAAGAAGCCCAAGGAAGCAAACATCAATACAAATTAAAATAAAACATATTTAAAACATTAGCAAACAAATAAAAAGCATTTTAAAGCTTTTAGAGTATCTAAACCTTTTAAAAACCATCACATACCCTCAAAGCTGCAAATTTCATGGTTGCTATGGTCAGTATCCTTCAGCCTGGATAAACAGGAATGTTTTTAAATTTATATTGAAAGCCAATAATGAGGGAAGGAGACATGCCTCACTGGGGAGGGCATTCCACAAACAGGAAACCACCACCAAGAAATCAACAGAGAATCATGTCTGTGACAATTTCAGTAGGAGAGTCTTTAAAAGCAGAATGGCAGTAAGATTTGCAAGTCAGTAAAAAGGAGGGATTTACCTGGTCTGGTACACCTGGGGGAGGGGGCGGAATACCAGGACTAAATAGGATTGTTTTTATAAAACAAGTCAACAAATCATTTGGCAAACTCTCTCATCCCCACCATTGAAAAACTAAAAAAAAAAAAACCCGTTAACATCTGCTTCCATGCTTGCATGGTTAACAGGAGTCCAATGATGCTTTTAAATTGGCAAGTGCATGAGAGATTTTCAAACTGAAATTATGGAACGTCAAAGATGAAAAGACACAGCAGCCAAGATAGTTTAAAAAACGAAACCAAACAAAAACCCTATAATAATTCTTGCAGCTGAAGGTAGAATTACTAAGCTATTTATATGTTGCAGAGAGTATTTTTCATGCAAGCTATTCAAACATTTCCAATCTCCTGCTGACACCAACTGGTGAGTGAGACAGTCTCTCCAGAATAAAGGATCCCCATTTCCAAACAGAACAGAAGGATTTCCAAATAAAATCCTTCTGCAGCTAGCTTGCCACAAATTAGTGCCGTTTAACAGACACAAATCAGGCTTAACACCAATGGATAGTAAGAGTTAATAGGCAGCTCCTCTGGTTTGCAGTCACACCTAGCAAATGAAAGTCCTATATTTCTTTATTATATTTAACAAAAATTTTATGCCACATGATTTTAAATAATTTAGAGATTTTATTACAAACAAAACCAGAATTATCAATAAAAGGTAGGCAAAAACAGATATTAAACATCCAAAAAATACCGTATTTTTTGCTCTATAAGACTCACTTTTCCCCTCCTAAAATGTTGTTGTTGTTTGTTATTATTATTATTATTATTATTATTATTATTATTATTATTATTAATAATACCCCGCCCATTGGGCTGGGTTTCCGCAGCCACTCTGGGTGGCTCCCAACAGAATTTTAAAAACACAATAAAACATCAAACATTAAAAACAGGGTTGCCTTCAGATGTCTTCTAAAAGGCAGATAGTTGTTTATTTCTTTGACAACTGATTATCAGTTTGCAATCAATGTGTGACATCCAGTATTGCAGAAGGAGACTTCTGCTTATGCAATGGGGCTTGCCCTTCTCCTCTTCCTCCTGCCCCCATGCTCCTTCAATAGATTTTTAGGGCATGCAGGAGGCTGAAGGTGGGGCAGGGAGGAATCTAGTCCACTAACTGAGTCTCTTCTGCTGGATTCTGTTGTAACGGTATGGCCCTGGGAACCTGAGCCCAAGTCTTTTGCACCATGCCCCATATATCCTACCTCTTCCCCTTTTAAAGAACTTAATTTTGTGGTTTTTAACTTGCTTATTAAGCGATTTTCCCTGACAGTCAGCCTAAATCTATACATATAAATTAGCATCTACAAATGTTATGCAAATCTGTGTCACGGTCCTGTGCCTTTAGGCTTTTAAGGATTTAGCAATGCCCTTGGTTGGACTGCACCCAAGATTTTCATTATAATTCATAACTCATATGCATGGCCATCCATAATAGTAAAATGATGGAACAAACCAAGAACAAAGACACATGGTCCCTGAAGACAGCCAACAAGAGCCAATTAAAAAGCAGGCAATTTCTGCTTCATTTTGGTGTTTTATGTACAAGCATGTGACAATATTGTTTCTGGGAGACAGAGACATTTCCTGTACTATAAATGTGTTCCATACACATTTTTGCTTATTTCTGAATGGAAGACAGAAGAAAAATCAAATCTATTCAGTATTTCATACATTCCACGCATTTACATTGTATGCTTTTATTTTTCTTTTCACTCAGTCCACCATACAAAACTCATCGTTTCAACTCATCCCACCCAGCGCTTCACATCCAGAAAATTCCATGCCACAGAGAGGTTATAAGTTGGACATAACTTAGTGATAGAACACAAGCTCTAATTCCCCAGCTTAGGTTTTCTGAATACAGAGTCCTTCAGCTGTGATTCTTGTTCTGGTATCTGGTGTTGCAGATACAAATCAGTGACACAAGTCAATGCCTCCATGGTCACAAAAGGCCCCTGCAACAACTTTTGAGAAATCATTATCTCAGAGGCAGAATAAGGTAACATCCCTGATGCATCAGACTTCTGTACTCGGTAGAAATTAGCACCTTATACCTTTGTCCTCCTCACACTGTTACACCATCCCCCAAAGCCTCCATAGCAGCTTCCCCCAATCTGGTACCATCCAGGTATTTTCAACTACAGCTCCAATCATCCTGGCCCAATGACTGGCCATGCTCCGAGATAAGCTAATTGGGATTTGGAGCCCAAAACATCTGGAAGCCACTAGGTTGGGAAACGCTGCTTTAAGGAAAATGTTAGCCATGATGGCTAAGTTATACCTGTGATGCCTCTGAGTGACAGTAGCTGGGAATTGCAAGTGGGGAGACTGCTCTTGTGCTCAGGTTCTGTTTTCAGGCTTTCCACAGATATCTGGTTGGCCACTGTGAGAACAGGATGCTGGACTAGATCAGCCACTGGGATGAACCAGCAGGCTCATCTTACGTTCTTACTAAGCCAGAACAAATTATTGACTTCTGGAGCATCCAATGAAAACAAAGGAGGAATAAAGTAAACGTCACTTACCAAAGTAAGTATCAAATCCTCTGCGGGTTGGAAGGCATTCTTTTCTGTACATTCCTAAATGCCACTTTCCCACCATGTGGGTAACATATCCTGCCTCTTTAAGTAGCTCAGGCAGGAGTTTTTCATGCAGTGGGACACAGCTGGGCTGACACGGCCAAATTATTTCATGCTGTAAGCCTGTATGGATCTAATGAAAACAAGTGTACCTTACACGTCGGTTACAGCATAATTTTCTGATGCTCAGGCAGCGCTATCTGCATAGCAACACGTTCATATTTAGAGGAAAACAAATCTAACATACCCAGATCAATAATGAAACTTTAAATACATCACATCTTAGAAATACTGAAAAATAAGCAGCAACTGTGTGCAGGGTGGGAAATCACTTAAAAGTAATTGGTGTACATTTTCAGGACATCTAGGCTATGAATCCAAATGAAAGGAAGCAAAACACAGAACTGCCATGTCTATCACATAGGAGTTATGGGGGAAAGGTACCTGGTGTGGCTTGAAAACGGAGCTGTCACCCAACTGAAGGATACTCAACAGCGCCATTCTAATGCATGTTTTCTTAGAAGCAAGCTCCACTGTGCTCATTGGGGCTTACTCTCAGGTCAGTGTCCTCATGGAGGACCACAATATCTCAAGGACTGCCTCTCTCCATATGAACGAACCCAGACCCTGCAATCACCATCTGAGACCCTTCTTCATGTGCCTCCTCCATGAGAGGTCCAGAGGGTGGAAACTCAAGAATAGAACTTTCCTGTGGTGGCTCTCCACTTGTGGAATGCTCTCCCCAGGGAGGCTCACCTTGTGCCTTTATCACCTATCTTTAGGCACAGGATGCTGGACTAGATGGACCTTTGGCCTGATTCAGAGGGCTCCTCCCCTGTGTAAGGGCTTCCGCTTGAACATTCGTGCTTCTCCCCACCCCTTCTCCACTGTGTGCTGACTGAGATTGGCTCTGAGGGGCTCTGGAGAACCTCCAGAACAGCACACGGAAGGAAATGGGGATTCATTCCGTCTGGCAAGCTGATATGCTTGTGCAGGTGGAACATCAGTAATTGTGCAATGTTGACTTGCACCCAGTGACAGAGCGCAAAAGGGTACAAATGTCTGCATAGACTGGGGCCCACAGTAAGTTACTCAACCTCCGGAAAACCTTTGCAGCCCAAAGGTTGGATCCAGAATTTGCCCACCCTCTGCAGGCCACTGTTGACAGGTGGGCAAGGCCATTCATATGTCAATCACCTGGCATCATATGACAACAGGCAATTCTAATTTCAAACTGGTGGCAGGCACAGGTTTCTCTCTGTTCTTAGAGCTGTAATGCTTAGTGCTAAGATGGAAGACAATAGATCCCTTATCTCCAACTTTGCCCTTAGAGCTTAGATTGGAGATGACAGAGCTTTGCTTCTGACATCATATGATCACATACGGGCACAGTTTGCTTCAAATGGTGTTAACAACCAAATTAGACCTGAGGTATGGTGGCTCCCCCATGTTGCTGTAGGCCATCACTGCTTTCAGTCATGAGGAGGCAATGAAGTTTTGTGGCCTTCCTAAAGTTGGAATCTGATTACTATTCAAAACAGAATCTCATGATCATCAAATCTGTCACATGCAGGACTATTAAAACATTCTGTTCCCTAACACTTTGCATTCAACTCCTCCATCAAATGCCATGTACACCTGTACAACATTACAACATACACTTGTGAAATGTTTCGCGCTTCTCTCAAAGTCCTCCCCAAAGTTGCAAGCTTCAATTAAATGCAAAATCTGTTTCCAGCTTCTGAACCACTAACCACAGAAATGACAAATACTTGTATCTCATTTTTCCAGTCATGGTTTCATTAAGCTATTTTGGAAGGCAGTTCTTAAAAGAGGAATACCAAATGTATCATAATTAGCCAAAATTATATCATCTAGCAAAATGAGGAGATTTTTGCCAGCCAAACATAATAATCAGAAGAACCAGTGAGCTTGAAGATTACCCAAATGGAGGATTCTAGCTGGCTTTAGAAAGCAAAGAAACAAGGGAGCTACTGAAACTGAACATAAACATAAAATGGAAATATAATCTGAAAAGAAAATTCACTGTTATTGCCAGAAAGCCCAAATGCATTATTTGACTTCCTTAACAGATGACCCACCAACCATCCAGAGACAGCAAAGATGAGTTTCATGAACAGCCAGATTTATTAAAAATTCTAAAGAAAGCAAAGCATCAATTTACATATCTTTGCATGCCTCTCTCAAGTAAAAATCACTGTCAAATATGTATTGCACATTTAAAAAACACTATGAAGGTGCTCTAGTCTTCTGGTTTTATTATACTTGTGAGAAGGTTAATACGAAAATCTTCAAAACTGTCACATGCATCTCTGAACGGTGATCTAACAACAGATTTATGATCAAGTGTAAGGAAGGAATAGCAGAGGACTAACATCAATAAGATCACAGGATTAATCTTTCTTTAGGTGATTTTTGAAAATGGCTATGAACTGGGAACCAAGCAAGACATATTTTCCATTGGGCTCTTTTCATGTAAAAAAAAAAAAAGGTATTTTTAAATGTTTCAAAATCGTCCACTGTTCTCCGCAAATTCTCTAGCCTGCCCTACCAGCAATGGAAATGGAGTGCCGCTTGCTAGTGAGGGTGAAAAGCACCTGGCCGCAGGTTTTCATGAGCAACTGACAGGGGCGGTCAATATCACTTGCCAATGCAGTGAAATATAAATTTCCATTTCTGATTGGAAAGCAGATGGCCAGGCTGAATTGACATAGATGGCTTCCTTTCAGGAAATAAAAAGCTCTGAAAATATATATGAAACTATAGGGCAGTTTTAGCAAGACAGGCTGGTGATCAGCAGAGGAATGGCTAACACCCCAGACTGTTTTTTACTACTACTGTTTTAAATTAGCTCTCTCCCCCCCCACACACTTTTATATCAACCAAAAAAAAGAAGAGGTGAACTAAAGAGAGAGAGAGAGAGCACACAAAGGCTCCTTAGACAGAGGAGAGAAAGATCGCTGTTCTTACCTTGTGCTCATTCCCCAGGTTTTCAATTTATGGACAGACTGGCTGAAATAGCAAGAGCTCAAAGTAGCCATGTGCTCCCATGAAAGAACAAAAAGAGAGCCTTGTTGATCAAGCCAAATGTCTATCTAGTCGAGCCTCCCATTCTCACTGTGGCCACCTAGATGCTCACGGGAAGAATATTCAGCTATAAAGCATCCAGCTCATATGATGTGAGAAGCTAACACTAGGCAGAGTGAGGGTGGGGGCCACCCCAAAGGGTCAACCCCAAAGGGAAGACACCAAATGGATCTGTCTCTTTGGGGACATCACAAGGTTTTGTTGACCTGTTGTTTTAAGCTAGACTTATATAAAAATATGAAGTTGTATAACTCCACATTTTTCTGCAACCTCCTAGCTTATATGAGTTGTGTAGAATTTTTATTATCTGCTGGTGGGGAAACTAGTGGAAGGAGAATGGAAATAGCTTCATGTTCCAGGTGAGGACCTGTTGCCATTGATCTCTTTCCTCTGGGTGGGAGACAGGAGGGAAATGAGTGCTGTATGCCAGGTTTGTAGCACATTTCTATTCTTTCTTCTTCAGGCTCTGGCTATTATAATATGGGTTTCATGAATATTTTGTCTGCTGGCTTCAGGAAGACAGAATTGGTTTCTACCCCAAGGGAGAGCTTGTTGGTAGAATCTGCCCTCCTGTGTGAGAGACAGGAATTAAATGTGCACATCATAGGTGAGCAAGATTAAGAGCTTTTTTCCTTTTTCATGCTGCAGGGCTGACTGGTGTTGCTAATATACAGTGGTACCTTGGGTTACATACACTTCAGGTTACAGACTCCGCTAACCCAGAAATAGTACCTCGGGTTAAGAACTTTGCTTCAGGATGACAACAGAAATCATGCGGTGGCAGTGGGAGGCCCCATTATCTAAAGTGGTGCTTCAGGTTAAGAACAGTTTCAGGTTAAGAACGAACCTCCAGAACGAATTACTTACTTAACCCGAGGTACCACTGTATATATATCCAACATGACTGTTTTATTTTGTGGTTTTTGCTATTTTATATCATTTTTATTCTGTTACTGCATTTATTGTATTTTATTGCCTATTTCTTTTCTATTAGGGAGCACTCCCTGTTTGATAATGTTTGGTTTTTGTTGTGAGCCAGTTTGAGCTCAGCTTGGCTGTTGGAAAAGCAGCATGCAAATACAGTGGTACCTCGGGTTACATACGCTTCAGGTTACATATGCTTCAGGTTACACACTCCGCTAGCCCAGAAATAGTACCTCAGGTTAAGAACTTTGCTTCAGGATGAGAACAGAAATCGTGCTCCGGTGGCATGGCAGCAGCAGGAGGCCCCATTAGCTAAAGTGGTGCTTCAGGTTAAGAACAGCTTCAGGTTAAGAACAGACCTCCGGAATGAATTAAGTACTTAATCCGAGGTACCACTGTATTAAAGTGGGAACTGGATGTAACAGCTCTCTCCCCAACTGTGATTCCTTGCAACTAGTGTTCAGAGGCCTCATGCTTCCAAGAGTGGACGTAGAACACAGAACATCCTTGTGAAGAAAGCACTACCCTATTCTTAAAACGAAAGAGGAAATAAAATTGCCCTCTGGGTCACCATTAGGAAATATGAGATGACCACCTTTCATTTCAGCCAGGGAGCAAATCAGGGAGGTGAGCTGTGCCCTCCAGGGCCTCTTCCAGATATACCAGCTCTCCTTCCCTTGCTATCATAGCAATTGGCCACTAGTTACTGTTACAAAAGCAGAAGTCTAAGACATCTCCTCACATCATGAAATAACTGGGTCACCAAAGCCCAGTCAGGATGGAATAGGCTGGGATCACAGCAGGGGCAGATGAAGATCAAGGGGCCAGAAGAAGACATGGTCCAAGGCAAGAAATCTGTATTGTTCCCAGCCTAATTAGGGAATCCAAGGAAGCTGAAGCAAAGGGTATGTAGAACCAGCCAGGCCCCTAGTGATTTTTCAGGTCACCCGGTCATGACTGGTGAAAAATGCTGCATATCCAGTATCAGGAACCATATGGCTGCTGCAGAACATTTCCCCAAATGTCCCAGTAGCAGAGTCTCTGATGGCTTACAAGGTCTTACCAAAACAGCTCATATCTAGAAAATATTTTGTTTTTAAAACCTACTGAAATAGGAAAAATGCAGGAGTAGATAAGGAGAACATTTGGTCAAATATTTAGCCTCTGGCTATGATCTTCCTCAAAGGCTGTAAAGAGTGATTAACCGCAGGGAGAAAAGCAAAGTAGGTTATGGATCACAGATAAAACAAAACACAATTTGTGAAAGGCCTATGCCTAAAAGAAATAACTGCATAATGAATTGAGCAAATGAGTTTTAAAAAGAGAAACATGTATTACATTCATTCCTTTATGAAAATAACAGTTAGGCACCTGTACTAAGAATGGTGAATTATATCTACCAAAGATCAGGGGGAGAGTGGGGAAGGAAGTGGCTTTGTGGTTAGTCTTGAAGATGGGGACACTGCTGGCCCTTTCACGACATGCCTGCAAAACCCTTTGCAGGGGTGGGGGACTCACACTGTGTCCCTGAGTTGCAATATTAACAAAGTAAGAGAAATATTTGAGAAATAGCAACTTAGTACTCATGAATACATTTTTTAAAAAGCAATGTTGTATCTCATGTTAACTATTACCTGTTCCTGTACTACTGCTACTTGGATCTGAATTTGCAGCTGCAAAGATATTGGATAACCTTTGCAATCATCATCATCATCATCATCATCATCATCATATTGATGTATGGGCTAATAAACCCCAAAAGTTGGGGGGAAAGGAATAGAAGTTCCACAGCAGAGAGAGTTGCAAGTAGTAAAGGTTGTGCATGTATCTACCTACCAATCAGACGCCGACATGTAGCTACATTGACTGTTGGAGACTTTTCACCGTTTCAGACAGGGAACTCCCTCAGTCCTGACAAGAAATACCAGGGACTGAACTTGGACTATTCTGCAAGCAGAGCAGATGCTCTAATATTGAGCTACAGGCCCATCCTAAACTATAGAGCTTTCCAGAGCGTGAAAGAGATGGGGCATAGTCTCAAATTGGTCATTGATGAATGAATTAACTGCAAGTAGCATACAGAGTCCTAACTATGAACAACTCTATTGTCATAAGAAATCAAAGGCTCCAATCCTTCTTCCTTTGTGTGTGCCATCTGTCAATCCATATAGCTAATGCTGCCAGGACAATATGTTTGGAGAAGGCAGAGGGCTGGAATCGACCTCCTTCATCACCAGTCAAATCTTAATCAGGCTTATGTTCTCAATTTATAGGTGGGTTTGCAATCTTGTATAAGGAAGGGTGTGCTTTAAACAATATTCATTGCCCTGTTTTGCACATAACACTAGGGCATGGTTTATTAAACCGTGGCACAGCATTATGTGTGAACACTGCCCAGCAGCTGAACTTTGTTTTGTCTATTAACTACAAAACCATGATCTGAAACCACAGTTATTGGCTCATAGCTTAGTTTCTTTTAAACATGGCAAACTGAGCACTTTTCCCTAACCACAATTTATATGACCACCCAAGCTCACCAAACTACAAGGCAAACTACAAAGGCAGGAGCTGGAAAACTGGCTAACAGTAGCAGCTGGAAAACAAACCAAACTTCGAAGACTTTTGGTTTGTTTGATAATCTGTGGGGCAACTCATGGTTTGTAAAACAAAGCAGGGCTTCAGCATGGTTTATCATTACGTCCAAATGAAGCCACCTCTGATTGGTGGCAGCTTTTCGCCGTCCCAGGCAGGGGGCTTTCACATCAGTTGCTTCCTGATTCTTTTAACTAAAGAAGGCAGGGATTGAACCTGGGACCTTGTGGATGCAAAGCATGCCCTCTGTCGCTTAACTAAAGTTCCTCCTCACTGCTGCTAAAGAATGAGATGCAGTCCCAGAACTAATTCTCCAGGTTGCCTAACAACAGCTTGAATAGTGTCCAGCCTGTGGTAGGACTAGCTAACAGTAGCATCTGCTTGTGTAAGCAGTTTCCGTTGCCAGCAGGATAGGGTAAAGGAGCGTGAGTGTTGCAGCACTTTAGAATTCAATCGGTTTGCTACAATATGGGCTTCTGCAAGAAATGCCACCAGTTGCACCATTTCTTTTGCTTTCTCCCTGCACCCCTGCCCCAAATCCAAACACCAGGCTTCCTAGCGGAGTGATTGGCACACCAGTGGCGTAGCGTGGGTTGTCAGCACCCGGGGCAAGGCAAGTAATTTGCGCCCCCTAACCCGTGGATTTGCGCCCCCTAACCCGTGGATTTGCGCCCCCTAACCTGTGGATTTGCCTTAACCCCAGATGTTGCTCCCGGTGCGGCCGGCCCCCCCTGCACCCCCCACGCTACGCCACTGTGGCACACATCCACTTTATGAGATTATCCCAGAATCATAGGCAGCAGGAAACACCCACAAATAGAAAGTCAGTTAGATCTGAGGCAGCCGCTGAAACTTGAGGAGAGAAGGCTAAGTTTTAATCAGCTGTTTTCTTTCTCAGCTCTGCTGATAAAATGTTTCATTCATGATGCTGACATGCAAACCAAAAGGAGCTTTGTGGCTCCTCCTTCCCTTAAAAATATATGTTGTTCACTGGAAAACACTGCTTGCTGATATGCAAAAATAAAGTATATTCATTATTACACGTTGCTTTCCCTAACAGATTACAGAAGTTTACAAAAGACACAATCCTGACCTCTTACTGAAATGCATATTAAACAGCCACTAGAGGTCTCCCCAAACCAGATAATCTATTCCTATGGTATCTTTGCACTAGGAAAACAATACAGTACAGTACTGTACAGTACTAGGAATTCGTCGTGCATTTTTGCAAGATATATCATTGGGCTAAGGTTTACAGGGCATACGGGCCGGAAGGGGAATATTGACCCTCTCAATGTTAAGAGCTAATAAGTTTTAGAACAACGGGCAAAGAAAACTAGAAATACGTTGCCCAGAAATACAACCCCCAAACCTCAACCTTATTTCATATGTTCAGTCAGCTCTGACAGGAAACAGACGTGACTCTTTTTGATTGTAGCTCGTCACGTTGCTGGACAGACACAAACACACGTGACGCGCTACACGAGTGAAGAGCTCTCATGATTTGGGCGTGACTTTCAAATCAGAAAAAAAAAAACATATCCCTGATAATTAAGATGGGTTAATACGCAAAGACCTCAGCAGTTCCTAAGTTTTAGAAACCACTCATTCGAACTGCAAGAAAGTTAGGCTTAGATTCTCACAGGAATCCACCGACGGCAAGGGAGAGATGCCGGGGCGGGAAGACAGAAGCACCTCAGCCACCGTTTCTACACGTCCCTCCCTCAGTCTCTTAAGCCCTTCGCGTGGGCAAGTCCAATCCCGCCGCGTTTTCCCGCCTACCTGGTACCTGCCGGTGAGCAGCTGGCTGCGCGACGGGGTGCACAGCGGCTGCGTGTAGTAGCTCTCCAGGCGCACGCCGCCCGCCCCCAGCGCGTCCAGGGTCGGGGTGCGGATTTCGGAGCCGTGCCAGCCGACGTCGCCCCAGCCCAGGTCGTCGGCCAGCACGAAGACCAAGTTGACGGGCCGCCGAGGCGCAGCGCTCGGGCACGTGCGCGCCAAGCACAGCAGCAGCAGCAGCAGCCCCGGGGGCGAGCAGCGCCCGAACACCAACCGCTGGAGCATCCCTAAGTCCTCCGCCAGCCCCAGCAGGAACTCACAGGGCAGGAAGGGCACAGGGACCTGCAAGTCTGCCTCCGAGGGCAAATGGTCCGCCCACCCTGGAGGAAGCCAATCAGAGTCAGCTCCGCCCCTCCGGAGCGAAATGAAACAGGAACCACCAGCCTGCCCGTCTCCCTCTCCTTCCCCAGCCTGCGTCTGTCCAGAGGGCTTAAAGAAGTACAGAGCAGTACGGTACATGGTCCGGAGTTAGGGATGGAAGGGGATGCCCCAGGGAAGACCTGCTGCAGCAGCACCAGCTGCCTCATCCTTCTGGTGCCTTCCCTAGGCTTACGATATTGTTTCATTCTCTTGTTAATTGTACTGGTTAAAATGTGCATCTCACAAATGGGCTTCCTTTAGTAAATGTTTTATTTTGAAATCTTGTAAGGGAATGTTTCAGCTGAAGTGCAAGAGCCATAAAAAAGAAATAATCTGGTAAAAAAAATGTAAATATTAAAGCAGAACACAGCAGTATTATTCTATAAACGGCCCAATCCTTTGACTTAGCCCAGGGGTCAGCAATCTTTTTTTTTGGGGGGGGGGGATGAATGAATTCCTATGCCCCACAAATAACCCAGAGATGCATTTTAAATAAAAGCACACATTCTATTCATGTAAAAATACACTAATTCCTGGACCATCTGCGGGCTGGATTTAGAAGGCGATTGGGCCAGATCCAGCCCCGGGCCTTAGTTTGCCTACCCATGCCTTAGGCATTGTGCTGAGCTGCAGTGAGTTAAGATTACAGGCCCTACTGAAAACCATGACTGTTATCTGATGGCTGGGAGCCCAAGGTTACTAGGACAGTTAAAGGCAAAACCTGTAATTCAGGGTTAGGTAAATCTAGTCACTAGATTTACCTAACTAGTGACTGCAAATGGGTGAAGGAGGGAAGCCGTAACTTAAGAACTCTTACAAGTGTGCTCCGGACATCCTGAACCCATGTTGAGAACAGCAGAAATGGAAGAATAACAAGGTTTATTATTGTAGAAAACACTAAACGAACAGGTGCTTGTCTTATATGGATCTGGTGTTTATAAAGCTGGCTTAGAAGCATAGGAATCTTACTTTATTATTTCTATTCTGTTTTACATCGCATGGGGAAAGAAAATCTCTAAGCAGTTTACAGCACATCATACAACATCAAATACAAATATTACAAAATACTAGAAAAGAACATTGCAAATAACAATCATACACAAAAATGTAATAAAGATCCACATTTAAAGCAGCACCATTAACATTGAAACAAAATATCAACATCAGTAAACATTACAAGTAAAAAATCAAAGACAAAAGTACGATCAGAATTCACATATTAAAGCATCATTTGCTAAGCAAAATAACTAAGGAGGCAGCTGTGCCTAAACTTTCTTTCACAATAGCATCTCCCAAAAATAGCACACTCCAACATGCAAATCTCACTCTCAACCATTCCCACCAACCACACCCTTAACACACTTTATTTCCAACCAACCACTTGTCACAGAGTGAATTTCTCATTTGTGAAGAATCTATGGCAGCATTAAACATTTTGAGACCCAGATCATTCGCCTACCTCCACCCACGCCAGTACAAAGCCAAAGAAACAGCAACACAGCCACTTCTTTCTTGCCTTACTCTTTACTGATTCAGTCACTTGCTTATAGGCAACTTTTTGGAAGCAAAAAATATTATTTCAATTACCACCTAACAATGCATTGCTCGTTTTCTTCTACTAGATTGATAAAATTCATCAATACAAACTTAAAGGGGGTGGCAGCCTCCAAGTGCCCTCTGGGGTACTTTCTTCAGGGTTGACTCCACCACCCACCCAATAGTCTGCCAAACTGCAGCAGCACTTTTATCTGATCTGTGGGCAAATCTGTTAGCTGCAGCAATTTTCACTCTTCTCCTCCAGACCAAGGACAAGATGTATTTTCCCTTCACATTTCAGCTAATTTGTATGCTTGTCTATGTTCCCTCTCTTTCATTTAACAATCGGTTATAGCACAGCCCAATTCTCAGAACCTGATTTATTGTATGCTACTTCAGGCAACCTTCTTAACAATGTAAGTCTCACTGTACAGTGATACCTCAGGTTACCGTACATACGCTTCAGGTTACAGACTCCGCTAACCCAGAAATAGTATTGCAGATTAAGAACTTTGCTTCAGGATGAGAACAGAAATCGTGCTCTGGCGGTGTGGTGGCAGCAGGAGGCCCCATTAGCTAAAGCGGTGTTTCGGGTTAAGAACAGACCTCCAGAATGAATTAAGTTCTTAACCCGAGGTACCACTGTATACATTAGCAGGCCACATGTGGACACTGAGGGTTACCAACTGGATTTTATTTTGTTGTGAGTTTTAAAATGATAACAAGGATAGAAGTCTTCTACTAGTGGGGGGAAAAAACAGCAGGAGGCCAAGAACATTCTCCCTATAGGACTGCTTCGAATCAGGTAAGAAAAAGGATGTACAGTGGTACCTCCGGTTACAAACACTTTGGGTTACAGACTCCGCTAACTGGAAGTAGTACCTCGGGTTAAGAACTTCTAGAGTACCATTTAGGTGGCAATCCTAGCTTATCCTAAAGACAATCCGACTCCACCAATTCTTAGAACATCTAGTCCTCAGTCTTGCTCTTCAGTCTGAGCTACTTGCATTTACTGTAGAATGCTCTAGGAGTCTGGGGCCTTATTGTATTGTACAGTATATAAAAATAATTATTTGTGGGGTTAGCTGTGCTGCCCAGTGTAACTCTTCTGACTGAAATATTTGTAACTTAAACCAGGCATAGGCAAACTCGGCCCTCCAGATGTTTTGAGACTACAATTCCAATCATCCCTGACCACTGGTCCTGTTAGCTAGGGATGATGGGAGTTTGCCTATGCCTGACTTAAACTTTAGGAAACCGGTTAAGAAAAAAAAGTAAGGTCTCTCTGCATTTTCTTGCTTTAACTTGTGTCAGTTAGTGTGCAACAAGTTAAGTAATCTAGGCATGTCGACAGCATTTCTCAAGGATAACTGCTAGAGCTACCTTTCTTACAAAACCACTGAATTACAATCTCCATCTGCTTAAAAAATTGGCGACATGAAAACATGAACAAGGGCTTTTAAAAAACTATATTGCTTTGAAAGGAAAAAGTGTATGAATTTTAATAATGCAAGGAACAAAAATATATGATATTCATCAGGAATTGCAAACGTGTATGAACTTACATTTTATGATTATTCAGCGAGTGAAATCACACCAATAAATAATTAATATAAAAGGCCTGATCTATTCTAGTCACAAACATATCCTTAATTACGGTATATTGTCCCCTTTTAAGAGGCTTTAATTGTAAACTGCTTTGGGAGCCAATCCTGGCATGTTATAGATATAATAAATAAATTATAATCTGTAAAGGACTCCACAAAGCACAGGCTTAAATCTGGGGTAGGGGTGTGCATGCGTACCTCCCGTAGTAGCATCTGTGCAAAGTGCTGTATGCAAGCTACCCATGCTCCAAGAGCAAGTAGCCCACTCATGTGGTGTAGTAAAGACCAGTACCACCATAACAACCTTCTCCAACATTGTGCCCTCCAGATGTTTTGCACTAAAAGTCCCATCAACCCCAGGCCACATGGCCATATTCTAGAGGGCAGCAGGTTGGGGATGACTACACTATGGGAGATATCTATCTATCTATCCATCCATCCATCTATGGACCTCCCGTTCCACATAACGGCTGGACAAACACCTAACTGCAAGGGGTAGGTGGAGAGATAAAGTTTCCCTTTGTTCACAGTTTTACAATTGAGTTCTATAGGTAATGAGGCAGGAAAGAAATTGTGCCCTGTGTTTATATATTTTTGTTTCTACATAAAATATGCTTAATTCTAATCATTTTTAACATCTAAAAGAATGTATTGGCAAACTAAGATGTAAAAAGTGATTGATTACAAACAATGTCATCTTAAAAAAATAAAATCAGATCCTGTCATGGTTGAAGAAAGCAGGCCAAATAATATAAAGTATAAGAGAATAATTTTGAAATGGATTTTTCTCTCTCACTCCAGCTAGCACTATGGGCAATCCTGTCAGCTCCTATATTTTATTGCGACCTGCTTTGTAAACAGATACTCAGATCTGTACAATGTAATGTCAGCTTGCATTAAATCATTGGCAATAATAGGTGCTCATTATTCAAACTGTGTTTCTACTGGCATGTCTTATTTATGCGTCAGCTTCTTTACTGAAGGACTTAGATGTATCAGTTTCTGTGGAAGATTCTGCACTTTTGAGCAATTTTTGTTTAAGTGACCTTTAAATAGGACAATGAAAATTTAGTGTTGAATAGTGTGAGCAGGGACACAGAATTGTTTTAAGTTAGCATTAGCATTAGGTTTATGAAAAGGAAAAATTATGGCTTAAGAATGAAATTAATCAATGTTTTATGGATTTGGTATTCGGCACAGGCTATTCAACCAAGGCAGATAGATTTTTCTGGAAGGGCTAGCCCACCAGCCATGAAGTTTCAAATGAGAGATTTGTGTTGTACAGGTGTTCAAAGAAACACAGAAACACACACACACACACACACAGATTCCCTATTTTCTGATATAAATCACCATCTAGAGTACCTAGGAATCTAGACCCCTGTGGTGTCATTGGTTTTATCTCCAATTCACTTTCCCAATTGCCTTTTTTAAAAAAAAAATAGCCCAAATGGTGTGGACCAACTAGCTCTTTTGCAAATAGGGATGGAGGAATCTGTCAATTTTAGTTTCGCTATTTCTCATCCCCCCCTCCCTATTTTAAATTTAGCTCTATGACTTCCACATCGATTCACCATTTTTCATATGTTCCCTAGAAGATTCAACAGTAATTTATTGTGAATTTCTCCTAATGTATACATATGTGTATGCAATTTTGCCTAATACAGTATGCACAATTTGGCAAAGCAATTTCCCCTAATATAATGCATTTTTGTATGTTATTCTCACAGATATATGCATTTTTATACACACTTAACCTTAGTATATGCATTTTTATACACACAATTTGGTTGGGAAAAAATGCCCCCAAAATTGGAGAATTATGAATTTCAAATGATAGCTATCTTTTGGTTTGTGCAGTGTTTCAGAAAGTGCAAATGAGATAAGTTCACCTTTAAATACAAACTGAATTGAATTTCTCCCCCATCCTTATATGCAATGCAAGTTCAAAAATCATTGGGAGGTAAAACTGTCTTCTAAGTAAATTTCTGTTTGGTTACCTAGACCCTTGCTTCAGATATGGAACTTATTTCACCACTGCGCCAACCTAGCTAGGAGGCTCTCACCGCTTTCAAATTCCCATCAATTCATGGGCTTATAGCCTCAGTATTTTGTTCTCCTTTGTGATCAGACCATTATTTCTACAAAGATTTGCCACATGCTCTGTAGCCCAGGACTCCTGCCACTTGCTCAATCATACTGCAACAATCCCATTTTTTTACAACATACTCAAGACTGTTGCTGCTGCTATTTACTGACTTGGTGTACATTATTTGCAAGAACTAATGTGTATAAGTAACAGTGGTTTCTTAAATTGTTCCTTATTCTTAATGATTAGTAAACATAAAGTATTATTTTGTTGCATATTTCATGTGTAATTTGCATTCAACTCAAATGAATTATGCTAATCAAGTATTGACTCTTAATACTGAGAAATTAAACGCCTGCCTGTTTATATTTTAGCACTTCCACCCTTCTTCTGAAGCCGTGTTCTTGTTGGCTCAGTCATAACCAATGGCTCCTGGATAATAGTTGCTTGATAATTTTTGCCTAGTAGTTCAACTTCCAGTTTCTGTCCAACTTTACTGAGTTCCACAGGGACATATGCAAAAGCCAGACTCTGCTGAGTGCTGTAGCTGTAACATCCAGATGTGGTGTTGCCAATAACCTGAAAAATTACCCAAATATCACAAAGGTTTTAGTGTATGGAAGCCTACACAGTTGATGTAGGTTGTATTATTCAATAAAACAGTCAGCATGTTAGAAAATCAAACACATGACTGCACGTTACATAGTTATCTTGTCTGCTTTAACCAAAAAAAGGCTGGGAGCATCTCAACATAGAGAATAATTTGTGCCCTGGAAAAAGATATTGCACATGCATCACCTGCTCTTGAGTAGCAACATAGCTCGACCGCTGCATACAAACCTACCCTACAAACTTACACTGAAGCATAAAAATATATCACATTCCTCAAGTAATAAATACAGTTTTTAGAATATTCCCCACTCTAAAGAAATAACTTTCATTTATATAAATGAAAGCTATTGATATGGGCACATGCAGATGGATCTAAAAAGTGACTCAATATTGTAATAAATTTTCCATTTCTAATTTCTGAGAGATATTAAATTAAATCATACTTAGAGTAGACCCACTGAAACCACTTGAGTTATTAAAGTCCATTGATCTGAATGCATCTCAAAGTATTAATTCTCTTTGGAAATTTGACACCTGAAGGTGGCACAATCTCTGTGTGAACACAGGTCTTCAACCTTTTTGGACCTGGAACCCTCCTTTAACCCAAAAATGCAACTGAGGACCCACTTCTTAATTTTTTTACCATACATTTGTATGAAGGTAGTGCTGCTATTGTGACCTACTTAGGTCAGGATGTGTTTTCTCCCTGCTTTCCTGTTTCCTCCCAGCCTCTCTCTCCCTCCTGAATTATAAGCTGTGTCCAATTTCAGCAGGCTGACTTATCTTGTCTGCCTGAAAGCTGGGTGGACTGGAGTCCTGATTCTGTTTCAAAGTAGTGGGGGGAGCACAGAGAACATCAGGAGAGTCCTCATCAGTCCTTTACTTTAGAGAGCCAGTGTAGTGTAGTGGTTAAGAGCGGTGGACTCGTAATCTGGTGAACCGGGTTCAATTCCCTGCTCCTCCACATGTAGCTGCTGGGTGACCTTGGGCTAGTCACACTTCTCTGAAATCTCTCAGCCCCACTCACCTCACAGAGTGTTTGTTGTGGGGGAGGAAGGGAAAAGGAGAATGTTAGCCGCTTTGAGACTCCTTAGGGTAGTGATAAAGCGGGATATCAAATCCAGACTCTTCTTCCACTTCTTCTTTACATAATCTTTGGGTCCAAGGTGCTTAGAACTCTGAGTATTAACACGAGAACTTTGAACCTGGCCCAGTAGCAAATTCCTTTTGTTGTGAGAAGCCCAGCAGAGGACTGTGAGAACTGCCACGGGTAGAAATTGCAAAGGGGTGGCATTTTTTAATCTGTTATAGCAAAAATAAAAACATATGTCATTGCACATGTGTGTATTTCCTTGCGCAAACATATGCTGGTGTTTGCAACCCTTTTTAAACTGTGTGCAAACTATCTTTTGTTCATTTTGAAATATGGATGGGAGCACAATATGTTCTAGAAAACTTTGCTTCAGTTTTTTGAAAACAAAATCTATGCTACGTGCCTTGTTATTATACCAGACACTTTCATTTCCCTCTGGATCAACATTATCAGTTTCCAAGGTGAGATACACAAGTTGCCGTTCAAGCCCCTTTTCTTTAATCTGCTTCAGTGCTTGCTTTCCTATGAAGTCTGCTGGCTGGGAAAAAAAGATAATGATGATAAATGATTAGTCAGGCTCTGTGACAGGGTTATGGATGCAAGCATTTAAATTTGCCTTCACTTGTTTTTGCATCCATTATTAAGCTTTAGATAAAAGTACAAATTAAATTAAACCATTGGGCTTCTTGAATGTTATTTCATCTTGCTCACAATGTGGGTATGTTCAGTTATTTTACTTCATATTTGTCTACATTTGTAACCTTTAAGCGCTATACATTCTGATTATATACCTTTAAAAATATTGTACTGAAAAGAGCTCAAGCTCCCTCTTGGCTACTTACATGGGGAAGTAACAGCAGAGACATTTATAGAAAACTATTGCAAGAAAGCCCACATCCCCTTCCCCCGCCTCCCAATCCCACAAAAGATAGCAACAACAGACATTTATCTGGTAAACTACTTTGTGCATTCCAAAGCTATTGGGGTAGCTCATGCTATGTGCAAATACTTTGCATGCAGAAAACCCCAGGGCTTTGCCTGAGGTATCTCTCTCAAGTTAAAAAGACGTGAGGTAACAGTTGTGGGAAAGACTCTTGCATGTGTGTATGAACTACTGACAACTAGACCAAAAGTCTGAGGTTATGTTCACATTAACTCACTGGTAATGAAGGATGGTGAGGACAGGTGACCCCACCTAGGCCCGAAGTCACACACCCCCCAAAAGCAGGCTCAAAGCTTCTCAAAGCTTTTCAAAATCATTTTCTCAGCAGCTAAGCATCTGCTCATTTGCTCTGCTGTTGCAAGGCAAAACGTTATTTTTTATCAGTACAAGGCGGTTTCAAAAAGCTAATGAATAGGCTCTGTTCAAAGCAGGCCTGAGAAACGAATCTTATCTCATTCGGTTGCAACATCTTGGACATGCTGAACCACCAGGGCTCCTCGACCCCTTGGCTCTCACCCCCCTTTCCTGGGAAGGGTGCCAAGAGTCCAAGAGTCCCAAGACAGCTTTCTGTTCATGCTCAGAGGAACTCATGGGCAGGACTCCTGAGGGAGGAGAAAGGGGAGGGAACTAGAAGGGGAATATATACTCTGTGCATATGACTGTGAACTCGTGCATGCTTTTTGTGAGTTATCACACTTGCTCCTTCTACCAGTTCATGGATGGTAGAAATAAAGCTTTTTCTCTGAAACTATTCCTTGAGTGTCTGTTGACTCCCACTTCCCTTTCCCGGGCGCAATATTTTTCCCACCCAAGGGCAAAGCCTCATAAGGCTACAGTAGCACAAAATCCAGAACCATTCATGTTTGTCTTCAACATGCTGATTTCAATCAAGATTGATTCTAGATCCTGCCACCTACTTAGGGTGGGTGGAGTTACTTGATAAGCGTTTCAAAACCATCACCTTGCTTAGGTTAGGCACGCTGTTTTCTCTCTGCACGTTCCCCAGGAGAAGGAGGTTGTGGACTGTGCTTTTGGTGTACACCCATCCACAACTTCATTGGTCAGGTATGGATACACCCCACCACCACCACCACCACCACCACCACCATTGCTGGGACCACCTACATATTACTTGGGGTAATACAGAAGCAACCTGCAATGAGCCTTTATTTTCAGAATGAAACCAGTTTCTCAAGAAGCGCTTTTCAGGGGCTATCAGTAGCAGCAGTAGAGACAAATCAACAATTCATGCCTCCTCTGGAATCAACCTTCAGTCACACTTGTTTAGATTCTGCCCTTGCCTCTGAGTCTTTCCTGTTTCTGGTTCCTCATAGCTTCATATGCTTGCCCTGGCCTTAACCTTTCTGGTATGGACCATGCCTGCCCACGTTCAGGTTGGCACCTGTTAAGAGCAGCCCCCTGCTGAAGCCTGACAGAAGGCCTGAACTAAAATCTGTCAGGCAGCCTTTTTTAGCTTGCTAGGCTTTCAGGAGGCGGGTAAGGGGAAAATCCCTCTTTGTCTTTTTGTTGTTGTTTTTTGATGGTTTCAGTGGTAATGGTAAATATGTTTCCTTCTGGCACTAGATGCTAGAATTAATCGGGGAGCACTTACTCCAATTTAGTTTCTGGATGATGCGATTTGTCTATGTGATGACCTTTGAAGCCAAACTAGAGCAAGAGCAATGCTTACTAAATTCACTTTGGAATGTTCTGTCTAAAACAAATGACCAAACAGACAAACAAAGAGAGATATGCTGGTGAAGTTCTCCAAGCTAGCCTTGAAAATGAACTTCAGGGGCTTTTAAAGCTGGCCTCAGTATGAAAAGTGAGCTTTACAACTCCCAACACTCTACTCAGGTTTGGATTAAATACTCCCTGTCCGTATCCACCATACCCAAGAACACTTTAAGCTGGAAGCTGGCAAAAGAAGCAGTAGAAATACAGAAATCTTCCTTTTCTTATTTCCATCACCCCAGCGCTGGGCACATGAGGGAATGAGAGAGAATTTTGCCTGTAATTCCTTGCAACCTGGCATGCTATTACTGTAGCTGTGACAGGGCAAAAGAGAACATAGGTGTGGGAAGCCTTCCTAATCTCAGTTCAAAATATGCTTCTGCTGCTGTTATTGCCACTGCCCGGCTTCAATATAAGAAAAGGAAACAGGGAGTACGTGTTTTTGGCAGGCAGCAAAACCACACATGGAGTGCCTCAGGATATGTACACGGGTTTTCCTGAAAAATGCTGCAGACAGTTGATGTGGCCGGGACAATGCTACGTGGCCTTCCTCCACAGGACTCCACCTCTCTCAAGAAAGTCAGTACTGAACTTTCCTGCAACGTCCCTCAAGCCCAGGAGACAATATGCAAGGGGCGGGGGCTCTGCTCTGCAGACCTAATTAGCCAGCCAGGTTTCTCATTTGGCTTGTAAGGCCACTTTACAGGTGTGGGCCAGGTAAGGGTGGGGCTCAGCCCAGTTGTTTGAAGGTACCTGCAAAGTCCCAAGGCTGCAGAAAACAGTGTTCTAAAAGGGGTTTCTGAAGATCTGGCAATCGGCTGATTTGTCAAATCTTCAGAAGCGCAGCTCAAAGCACTGCACAAATAGTGTTTTGAGAGAGTCTTTGCCTTTTGGGGCAAAATAGGATCTGCTGGCCTGTCAAACTTGGCCCACAAGGGGTGGAGGAAATAACAATCTGGTCTGCCAGGCTAGAAAGTTTCCTTACCCATGTTTTAAACACATGTTGCCCTTCTACTTGCCAATTAATTTGCTAGCAATTAAACCAGGACACTGGGGACGCGGGTGGCGCTGTGGGTTAAAGCCTCAGCACCTAGGACTTGCCGATCGAAAGGTCGGCGGTTCGAATCCCCGCGGCGGGGTGCGCTCCCTTCACTCGGTCCCAGCGCCTGCCAACCTAGCAGTTCGAAAGCACCCCCGGGTGCAAGTAGATAAATAGGGACCGCTTACTAGCGGGAAGGTAAACGGCGTTTCCGTGTGCGGCTCTGGCTCGCCAGAGAAGCGATGTCACACTGGCCACGTAACCCGGAAGTGTCTGCGGACGGCGCTGGCCCCCGGCCTCTTAAGTGAGATGGGCGCACAACCCTAGAGTCTGTCAAGACTGGCCCATACGGGCAGGGGTACCTTTACCTTTTTAAACCAGGACACTATGCTATTGCAATCCATGTGCCACTTCTCCTACTCACACTTGTGAGCAGGCATGGGCAGCATGCTGCTTGAACAGGCACAATTTATTTCTTGTCCTTAGTGTCTCCTTTTCCTTTGCTGTCCTCTCCATATACCATGAATGTATTAATAGAGGTAGAGAGAAGATGAGAGACAATGAAGGGCAAACCAAAACACGAGCCACCAGAGAGATAGCAGTGCAGACATACCCTTATAGAAAATGGCAATCAGGCTTTGCCAATTAAAAGCAGTAATCCATAGTACACCAGATGATATAAATTGAGTGCGCTATTGCTTTTGGTTGACTCCAGTTATTTCCAGGAGATACAATGGAAAGGGGGGGGGCGGAAATCATAGATGTGAATCTGACAATTTACATTTGTTGGCTCTTGGCATTTCTTATCTGCAGCCAGTAGTTCTGTGCATTGCTTCTCCATGTTCTAGTGAAACTGTCCTTAAAAGAAGCCCATGCATTTGAATACTTCCAAGCTCCCCCATGCTTACTCTTCAACATTATTCACTTGACTCCCATAAATCCATCATTTATAAATGGAAAACACAGTTTGCATGAAGGTTAATGCAGCAGTCATAATTGGAGCCTTGAGTATGACCTGGTAACAGATGTGAATTGCTTTAATGGGTCACTTCTAGATTAATTGCATAGAAGGTAGTTAACTCCTGTGAATATATAAACAGGGCAACAGCTAGAGTAATTTTGATTTGCTTTAGCCTTTAAAAAAAACCCCTCACAAATTAATTTGTGAGAGAAAATTTCATGTGTGTTATATTTAGTTCTAAGAAAGAAAAGGATGGTTCAAACCACATTTACCAGGTATTATACAACAGCTAAATCAATGATCAAGAAAACATTTTAGTTTATGTGCTATATTATTTCCTTTCCTATTGACAGTAAAGGAGAATCATAGCTTTAATTAATATACTTTCTCTATGTATTTCTTTTACTGAATTTCTTTATGTTTGCGCATTCCACTGTGGAGGTTCTGGATTTTTGCTATACTGTATGTTAGGATAATCTTCCCAAAATTGTTTTGTAATAGTTTTTACCACTGTAGCCAGTGCTTTTTTCTTAAAAAAATGTTTATGGGTACTCTCATTTTGACTCAAGAAATAACCATTTTATAGTTCAAATCCAGAAAAATAAATACAGTAAATGGACAAAGGTACAAAGATTCACAAAATGTTTAGGGGTATGTGTACCCCTGCGTACCCTCAGAAAAAAGCACTGACTAGAGCAAATGAAACTATACAACTTAAACTTAAAATAATGTTCACTGTATCTATACCCCAACCTCCTTCATTCACTTTAAAATCATGCATGAGGAACTAAATTCCCAACATAGGAAAATGATTCATATGTCATGTTATTTCCAGAAGGAAAATGTGTTAGCATACTGTAG